GTCTTTCAATTCAAGTCGTTGCACGCATTTGATGTGGACGTCTTGAGGCTGTGTGTGGAAACGGCACAGGCAGCTGTGTTTGTGCTGCCCGATGTGTCGTTTTTGGCATTGCTGTCTGGCACGTAGCGACAGGGCAGGCGCAGCGCCGCTCGACCCGTATTGGGAAGAGTGGCATGGCCTTCAGCCACGTAGAATTCTGAGTCAAGAACGCTGCGCCTGTCACTCACTTGACATGTTATGTGCGAGTCTGCGAGTCTTAGTACCTTGAAAGGCTGAAACGCCTGCGCGGGCGGCTAGTTGCGTGAAAAAAATGACGCAAGCAAATGCATGTCCGCACGTTGTGTTGCCGCTGCTTCAACTTCTGGAACCACTGACAGAATTAGATCCATTCCATCATTGTAGACATGCCTGCCAAGGACACTCGCATATACGATTTTGCTTGTGCCCTTCGAGAAGCGAGATATAACTAATGCCAAGTTGTTTCAAAGTGAATCAGTGGTAGGGCAGCGCTGCTCAGGTACTTCGAGGCGAGGATTTCTTCGCTGAGTTCGACCAGGCGGCACTGGCGGGGACGGGTGGGTGAGTATTATGGATATATGCTTACTTGTCTGTCACGCACTGTTGCGTTTGCAGGCTTCTCGGAGCTTTGGGTCTTTGCCTTTGGGATCCTGGTCTAACTTCGAGGAGGCAGGGGCAGCAGGCATGTTTAGTTGTCGCTCCCTTTTACATCACGAAGACCACCTTCAACTGCGCAGCTATCTGGTTCGAATTCCTCTGGTGTTGTTGGTCTTCGCTTTTTCCAAGCATGGCTTCCTTTTGCCCTGCCGCGGTGCGAGATCCCATTGCGCACATTAATGGGAAGGCGCAAAGGAAGAGAGTCAGGGATATGAGCGAGGATGAGCGGCAGCATTATGCTTTCCTGTACGCTGCGCACTCCAATTGCGCGGCCTGCGTGACAGCATGGCTTGCCCAGGGCGCCGATCCCACCCGAGGATCGCAGCACCACCCGGACTGGACGGCTTTGGCCTGGGCGAAGGATGCTGGCGCCACCGAGTGTGTCGCGCTGCTCGAGCGTCGCAGCACGGACAGATCCAGATCGCCCTACATGCCGGGTTACCAGCACGAGCAGCCGCGAGGTGTTTGGGCAGCTCCCCCGCCGCCGCCCCCGCCTACTAGGCCGACTCGGAGTGAGGAGGCAGCAAGTGCTTCGCTTCCGGATCCAGTCGAGGACGAACCGCTTCCGATGGAGGACGAAGCCTGCGCCGTGGAGTGCTTCGAGGACTTCTTCGAGGAGCCTGACGGCGTGGCAGCAAGGGTGGCAGAAGCGGCTCTTTCTGGAAATGTGAAAAAAATCCGAGCATTGATGGAGAGCCATGTTTCGGTGCTCAATGAGAGGCCCCAGCCATGGCTTGTGGACTTGCCCACCTTGATGGAGCACTGGACACTGAGAGAGTACGTGGCTTTGGCAAGGCTGCGGGCTGAGGGCGAAGGGCTCCAGGATAGAGTCGCGGCTTTGTCTCAAGTGCTGGACATGGTGGATAAACAGGAGCAGAGTGAAGCCGTGCGGTTGGCCAGCGCCTGGAGCCAGGGTAAGATGACTGATGCGAACTCTCGGCTCTTTCAACAAACCATTCGAGGTAGGGTGTTCAATGTCTTCGCAGCCACCAGCGACGACTTGCATATGCAGATGTTGAACGCAGCCCTGTATCGACTTCAGCCCACACGCTTGCAGGAGATCTTGCAAGAGGAGCCGCATGAAGTGAATCCATTGCGCACGCGAGAGGATGTTGCATTGGCCTGTCACCCTGAAACCGGGTGGTGTTGTACGCTCGGCTGAGCGCGGAAGCTGCATCGGAGCAATCGGGGCTAGTGGCGGAGGCTCTGAGCTATGTGCGCGAGTGGGAAGATCAGCTTGTGCACGCTGTCTGCTTCTCCACTGGCAGCTGGCTGGATCGTCAGAAGTCTTTCTTGCAGCTGCTTCTCAAGGAAAGCGCCTGAGCCGGCGGTGATTTGTCTTTTGCTTATGTAGCGACCGACCCGCAATGGGAAGCTCGCGAAGCCACATAGCAATCGACCCGAATGGGAAGCTGGCAAGGCAATTGTCTAACTGTCTCGCACGAGGCTAGAGCCGTGAGCAATGCTTGGCTGTCATCAAAAAGTGACAGCGGCGCATTGCCATTGCCTTTTTTGTTCGATCGACAGCTGCGTCGTCAGGCAGTGTTGTTGCTTTCTCGGTGCGTATGTGACCTTGCCTGTCGCAGCCTGCAAGAGAACGGGTCCGTCGTGTCAGGCGACTCGTGGGTTTGCTATCCACTGTCAGGGCCTTAGTTCGCGTGGTTTAGTACCTTCTTGCACACAGCCATTGTCTGAAAAGCAACCGACCGGCTTGCGCATCGTGGGGCAGTCTTGCTTTCTCGCTACGTGTAACTCTGTCTGTCGCAGCCATCAAGAGAACGGGGCGGCCATGTCAGGCGATTTGCCTCTCTGCTTTTCACTGTCAGGGCCTTAGTTCGCGTGGCTTAGTGCCTTCTTGCCTGACAGCCGCTTTCTGAGCAGCAACCGATCGGCTAGCGCGTCGTCAGGCAGTGTTGTCAGGGCCTCATTTCACGTGGATTGGTGTTTTCTTGCATACAGCCATTGTCTGAACAGCAACCGACCGGCTTTCACGTCGTCAGGCAGTTTGGCTTTCTCGCTGCATGTAACTCCGCTCGTCGCAGACTGCAAGAGCACGGAACGGCCATGTCAGGCGATTTGTCGCCTTGCTATTATTCACTGTCGGGGCCTCAGTTCGCGTGGTTTAGTGCCTTCTTGCCTTATAGCCATTTTCTGAACAGCAACCGACCGGCTTGTGCAGCGTCAGGCAGTGTTGCTTTCTCGCTGCATGTAACCTTGCTTGTCGCGGACTGCCAGAGGACGGGGCGGCCATGTCCAGCGATTCGGCTGTGCTACCCACTGTCAGGGCCTCAGTTTTCGTGGTTTAGTGCCTTCTTGCCTTCTTCCCTCCTTTCCCAACATTTCATAGGTTGCATCGTGCAAGAAGTGTTTGGCTCACGTCATTTGTTTGCATTATGCTTCAAAAGAGATTCGGCAAGCAGCAGTCACAGCCTGATCTGCCTGACACGTATTGTTTGGACATTGTTGTGGAAGATTGAGCCTGATTGTACCTTATCTGCTGTATGTCTGCTTAGCTTTGCTCTTCTAGGCATCGCCAGACATGTTGACTTCAACGCGCCTCGACCTCGGGGACGGCGTTCAGAGGAGAGTTGCTTTGGTTTGTCGTTGGCTCATCATTCTCACGCAACACAAGTTCATCGCTTGTTCCGCAGAGTTTTCAGGTGCTTTTGTAACACCCAAGCATTCGTCATTGCGCAATGGCGGACCAGCAAGCTTTCATCCAACCGCAGCAGAGCTGCCTCGAGTATTACGTGGCCTTGTTGCCACAGGCTCGTTTTCAGGCTTTAAGTGTTTTCACTCACCTTTTGCTCTGTGCCGTTGTTTGTCGGGCTGGGCAGGTGGTTGGCTTCACCCCGGAGACTCAAGTGTCGCGCGCCTTCCAGCCCGGCGCCGGCGATCACTTTAGCTTGCGAGGCACGGCCGAAGGAGCTCGCGAGAGGTACTTTTGGTGGCAGGACGGCGCGATGCAACTTGGCACATTGCGACAAAAAAGCAAAGTTTTGGAAGTACTGGCCACTTCAAGCTGTTGCTTTTTTCTTCGTAGCTCTTTGCGGACTTGCTTTCAGGCCTGACCCATCTATGTGGAAGCTTACTTTCACGCCGAAGGGCCGCGAGAAGTTTGTCCAATGTGGGTGGCTTCGCGAGTTGGCGTGCACAGATGTCGCAGACCCAGCCCAGCGCTGGGCGCGCCTGTATGTGCCGCTGCAGTTCGGCGAGATCGTGGAAACCGGGGAGGTGCTGTACACGTTCGAGCAGATGAGCTGATAGCTCTTTTTTTGAAAGCTTCGCGACCCGCATTGGGAAGCCGAAGCGATGCCGTGCTAAGGCCACTGCGCAATTGAAGCCAGTGACATCGAACGGTTCTTTGAAAAGGCATTGAGCATGCTCGCTGTGTAATTTCCCTGCTGCTCACATGGAAATTCCGAGCAGCGCGCAATTTATGTCTTTTGTCTCTGATGCACAGCTCCTGCTGCAAGGCGATTCGCGTCTCCATTGCCGAGGCCACAGCAGTCTGTTGCCACTGCCCTTTGCTCTTGATCCATTTGCTGCCAGCACATGATGGCCACTGACCGGACTCTGCCTCCACGCAGCATGTGTTGCAACCTCAGCGGCTGCTTGATTTCTATCTCTTTTTTTTTCTGAGCACCATTTAAAAGCAATCAACAGTTTGTTAAAGTTTTTGGCAGACTTTTCCCTACACCGCAGGTGAGCTTCTCCATGTAGTAGGACAACAACCCGAGGCGCTTTTAAACCTTGGCACAGAACTGGCGCCCAGGAGCATTTCATCTCGACTGCTTGCTAAAGGACTTCGCCGAGGCCACAGCAATCTGTTGCCACTGCCCTTTTGCTTGGAGCCATTTGCTGGCAGGCATACGATGGCCATTGACTCGGACCTGCTGACTTGCGCGTGTCTCGACCTCAGCGACAATTTGAGTTTTGACTGAACACCATGTAGCCGAAGAACATGCCGAGGCGCCTTGGGACCTTGGCACAAAGCTGCTTTCAGTCATTCTTAGCCTAGCGCCCAGGATCACTTCTCCATTGACTGCTTACTACTTTACTTCGCCGTGGCCGCAGCAGTCTGTTGCCATTGCCCTTTGGACTCAAGCCATTTGCTGCAAGGCATGCGATGGCGACTGACCCACAGGCTGTCTGTGTCTGGCGCATCGCAGATCCACGTGGATCGCAGAGCGCCGAGTGATCCACATGTTTTCTCAAGACTTCTCGGAGCTTGTACCGCTTGGTTGTCGTGTTTGCTGTGCATGTGTGACTTAGCAACGATTTCAAGCAGCTCGAACAGGAAGCCCACTCACGAAGACCGCGCGATGTCGCTGTTGCTGAAGCCTTCGGAGTATGGTGGGCTCAAAGGCACGGCAGTCGCTGGCCGGGTCGTCATTATGCTGGAGCAGGAAGTGAAGAGCAAAGCTGCTTCCGCCGCGGCGGCCACGCCTTCCAAGGGGAAAGGCAAGAAGTCCTCGAAAGCAAGCTCGCAGCCGCCATCTTCCACGAAGTTGGAGATGCACATCGCAGGCGCAGACTCAGTGAATGAGGTGGTGTATGTGGAGGCTTGGGGAGAGCAAGCTACTCAACTCGGCCTGCGCTGCAAGGTGGGAGACTTGATCGCCCTCACGGGCGCGACCGTGATCTCCACTGCGCAGATGTACTCCACTTCTAGGCTACCTTACCACCTTCGCGTCAAAGGCATTGTGGGTACGCAGGTGTTGGTCCAAAAGTTGGAGAGCTTGCCCTGGAGCGGCGTCCCTGCTCATCATCCTTTGGTGCCACTGCAGTCGCTGGCTCGCGTGAAAGACCGACAGCAGATCTGTGTGGCCGCGCAAGTGGACGACAACCCGGGCGCGATCGAGAGGGACACCGTCCAAGGCCGCGTTCTGGTCTGCAATGCCATCGTGCAGCAGAATGGCGTTCGAGTGCGGTGCGCTTTCTGGAGGGAGCACGCTGAAAAGCTCGCGACCTGCCAGGCTGGAACCTGCATCCTGCTCTACCAAGTGTTGGTGGAGACGAAAAAGGAAGGATCATGGGAGATTGGCAGCTGGCGAGGCACTCAAATTCTGGAGTGCCCTGAAGAGCTTGCCAAGAACATTGGAGAGCGCATCATGGAGCCTGGCGACTGCCGCATGCTCACTCTCATTCCGACCAGGAATTGGAAGGAATGCGAGGCAGTGCAGAGCACATTGAGCGCGCTCGTGGGCACGATTGTCCCCGGGCAGTTGCGGAAGGTGGACACTGTGTTCCTCGTCTCCGGACTGCAGATCATGGGCTTGAGCTCGGTCAGGTCCGAAACGGACGAGTGGATCTTGTCCAGCTGCAGCACGTGCAAGAGAGCTTTCCCTTGCCAGGCACGCAGAAATTCAATCGCATTTTTCCAAGGATGTTCTGATTAATGTCATTCAGCATGAAAACTTAAATCTGTCAAGCTTTTGTGCAGGCACATCCAGATGCTGCTGAAGAGAAGCGCGTGGCCCTGCGCGCTGTGTTCGCGGATAGCGACTGCCAGTGCAGCATGGTGCTCTACCACGACCACGTCGAGTTGGCCTTGCAGGAGCAGGGTTACTCGCTGCCGAATCCTTGCAAAGACACTGCAGAGCTGCGGTCCGAAGTGCGAAACGCATTCCGGAGCGCACTGTGGACTTGCAAAGTCACCTTTCGGGAGAACGACTACCAGCAGATCCTGGAGTTGGAGTGTCGCCATCTGACGCCTTTCCTGCCCTTCAACAAGGACTGCCCGGACCTGACGCCCCACATGCTGGAGCTTCCACGCTGCTCTCTGGGCGGCGGCTGCCCGGTTGCTGCTTTGCGCGACTTACGCGTGGACACAGACTTGGGCTCTTTGACGATTCAAGAGATCGACGCTCCGTCTGTGCGAGCGCTCGTCATGTTCAACGAAGTCCAGCTGCCAGATGATGAGTCTCTGCAGCAAGACCCGCAATCTGCATCGGCCATGCGAGTCAAGCGCTCGGTGGACTGCTGCTTGTCAGTGCCCGACGCTGAAACCCTCTTGCCTTTCCGGAGCAAAATCCGAGCAGCAGGCCCTGCGTCTGCAGTGAATTGGATCCTCCGAGCACGGCCAGGTGAAGTCCACCAAGTGGTCATCATGCAAGCCGACGCGGAGAATGAGTGGTCTGTCCTCTGGCACGTGGAGGTTCACGAGAAGGCGGTGCTGGCTGTCAACGCGTACTACTCTCACATCATCTCCAAGCAGACGGCGGCTGCTGCTCTGAGCTATGCCAGTGAGTGGACTCCCGGTAAGCGAGTGCGCACGCTGCGAGACAGCATGCCAACCCCTTTTAAGACGAGCTCTGCTTGGCAAGACCAGTGCTAGAGCAGGCATGAAACAATGTTCGACACTAGCTGCTGTGATTGCATTTTTGGGCGCCACGCAACTCGGAATGAGAAGAATGACGCAGCTATCACAGCGAAATGTTGTCCGAATCCTTTGAAGCGTGGCTCTGCTTGGCAAAACCAGTAGCTAACCTTGAAGCAATATGTTGGCCGTTAGCTGCTGCAAATAGCATGTCGAGCCACGCATCGAGATTCTTCAGTTTGAGCCACGCAACTCGGATTGAGAAGTTTACCGAGCTTGTTCAGTGTCGTCATTACGCAGCTGGCGAAAAAACAGACGCGGCGCGTCCGCACGAAGCATTGCTGCCGGGACTGACAGTCAGTGTGGCATGAGCTGCGCCCGAGCCAAGGTCAGCGCAGCAAGAAAGGCAAAAAAAGGTTCGCGCAATTGTTTGCGGGGTGAGGTGACAGAACGCATGCTAGTTGTCTCCGCGATGTTCATGAGCCCTGCCACAAGCTTGCAGCACAACCACTTGCGCACGGCTCAAGCTTCTTGAGGTTGTCTCCAACTGCCTTGTTGTTTCACAGCCATGAGTTTGAACATCCAAGGCCAGCCATGGGGCATCTTCTTCAAGTTGGATAAGCTGCTCCACGGCTGCCCTGCCAAGCCCTCGGCGCTGCTGATGGATTCACAGTGTAGGCGGAGCGGTCCGCGTTCTGTCGACATTCCAGCCGCAGCGCGCACCTTCATTGGAACCTTTCAGGAAGGCAGGCCCTGCAGGTTCCCCGCGGAGAAGGCTTGAGATGGACATCTGACTGAAAAAGCTTGACTTCATCGTCCAACGGATACCACAGTGCTATTTCTCTTTGGCAAAGTGTCCAGATCTTCTCCGATGCTGAGCTGCAAGATGACCTCCTGAGATGCACGTGCGGCGCAGCCAATAATCTAACAAGATGGACTAAGTTCGAGAATGTCTCGAACTTGCTTTGTTTTGTTGATTAGCGGCTCGGGCTGCAGTAGGTTAGCAACGCCTGCGATGAAAAAAGCGCGCTGGACCTGCTCTGTAATCGCATCCATACAAGGGGCGCACGGTACATGTGTGTGGACATTTGAACTCACATCCTTGGGAAAAACATAGCATGTGGGGTTATCCGGTCCTTTAATTCTTCTTCTTATTACTATCTGTTCTTCTTCATGTGATTATTATTATTTGTTCTTCTTCATAATATTATTTTGATTATTTGTTCTTCTTCATGTTATTATTTTGATTTTTTGTTCTTCTTCATATTATTATTATTTCTTCTTCTTCTTATGATTATTATTAGTATTATTATTTGTTATTCTTCTTCATGTTAGTATTACTATTATTTGTTATTCTTCTTCATGTTAGTATTGTTATTATTATTATTTGTCTTTTTTTCATATTATTATTATTATTATTTGTTCTTCTTCTTCATATTATTCTTATTCATCCACATCTAGAAATTCGGTGCTTGGGGACCCCCCCCCTCTTGGTGGGCTTTAAAAGAAACACGAAAACGACGCCAACCTGGTGGGCTATAAAGAAGGAACAACTAAATGGAACCAGCAGTTTTTTTGGGGAGTCCACTATTATTATTATTATTGTTTGTTCTTCTTCTTCATATTATTATTATTTGTTCTTCTTCATATTCTTATTATTATTTGTTCTTCTTCTTCATATTACTATTATTTGTTCTTCTTCATAATATTGTTATTATTTGTTCGTCTCCTTCATATTATTCTGATTATTATGATTTGTTCTTATTCTTCATATGATTATTATTATTGTGTGTTCTTCTTCTTCATATTACTTGTTCTTCTTCAGATTACTCTTATTATTATGATTAGTTATTCTTCTTCATATCAATAATATTATTATTTGTTATTCTTCTTCTTATTACTATCTGTTCTTCTTCTTGTGATTATTATTATTTGTTCTTCTTCATAATATTATTTTGATTATTTGTTCTTCTTCATGTTATTATTTTGATTTTTTGTTCTTCTTCATATTAGTATTATTTCTTCTTCTTATGATTATTTTTAGTATTATTATTTGTTATTCTTCTTCATGTTAGTATTACTATTATTTGTTATTCTTCTTCATGTTATTATTATTATTATTATTATTTGTTATTCTTCTTCATATTATTATTATTATTTGTTCTTCTTCTTCATATTATTCTTATTCATCCACATCTAGAAATTCGGTGCTTGGGGACCCCCCCCCTCTTGGTGGGCTTTAAAGGAAACACGAAAACGACGCCAACCTGGACTAAATGGAACCAGCAGTTTTGTGGGGTCCTCAATTACTCCAGCCTAAAAGTGGCGACCACAGAACCCCCCAACTTGTGCGCGAACCAAGGTGTGTGGGAGCATTAAGCTTGGCTGTCAAGACCCCTCGCTATCCTCGAGCATCCCCGTGTATTTACTCGGTTGCTTTCTGCTCCCCTGCTCAAAGTGTTTAACTCTTAGTGGTTTAATGGGAAACCCATTCGTTGTCAAAACGCAGTCCTAACATCCACCCGGTGGCTCCTGGGGCATTCAATGGAAGACCCGACCCCTCCATTAGACACCCCGCTGAGGTGTTTGGGGTTCTCAAACTTGGCTGTTTGAGGGCCCAAAAATCATCGGGAGCCTCTGGGCAAGCAAACTGCACCAAGGTTTAGCTTTCCACTGTTGGGATATCAAGAGATACCAGAGAGCTCGCACGGCGAAGACCGACGCCACAGCAAGGAGCGAATGGAGCTGCTCGTGGCGCCCAAAGTTGGAGGTGAACTTGGCACAGAAGAGCATCAATCCTCCACCACCAAAGATAAGGGAGCACGACCAAGTCCACCAATGCGGCGAACTGTGGATCAGTCATGACTGACGTGCTTTCGGGCACTGGCCTGCTTCCCTCGTTTTTTGATGGATCACTTCCGATCGAGTGGGGTGGCCAAAAGCTATCCACACTTTTGTCTTATAAGCCACTATAATGGCAACCAAACCCCAACAGTGTAAAGT